TAGAGATGAGGTCTCGCTGCCCAGGCGGGTCTCAAACCCGCAGGCTCAGGCAATCCACTCACCTCAACCTCCCAAAGGTGTGGGATTACAGGCTGAGCCACCGAGCCCGGCTCTTATGACGATTTTAAGAAGTAAATTGCAATATCATTAGACCTAGTCATAAAACAAGCATAAAACTAAGGGAAAATCCTAGTCTACCAGAGATGTTATAAGCTATTATTAAAATGTATTTAAAGGGTTATGATTTGGTCAACTGAACCAAATCCATTTGTAAATGTTGAAAAGGTCATTAATGTGAGTGTTTCTTCATATATTTTTCTAGATTATGATACTTACAATGAGTTTTTGTTATCATCTGTTGAGCCTCTTAGGTCAAATTTTTTGGCTAATACTTTATAAAGTTTGAGCCAATTTGTCCCTGTAATTTGGCCTATTATTTTTTACTTTTTTCAGCATGAATATTATTGATCTGGAGGTAGTTTAGGAGAAACCAAGTGATAGGAAACAATCTTGACAAAACCAATGTTAGTCCTTGTACAGAAATCAGATTGAACAGCTATCTTTGTAGTACCAATGCTGATAAAGCTAGAAAGGGCTCTTTGTATAAAGTGGCAGGCTTTAAAGCATTAACTTTGGTATGGGCTTTATTCTTTATTATTATTATTATTATTTGAGATAGGGTCTCATTCTGTCACCCATGCTAGAATGCAGGGGTGTGATCCTGGCTCACCACAGCCTCAGCCTCCAGGGCTCAGGCAATCCTTCCACTTGAGCCCAAGTAGCTGGGACTGCAGGCGCGTGCTACCATGCCAGGCTGATTTTTGTATATTTTTAGAGACGAGGTCTCACTATGTTGCCCAGACTGGTTTCAAACTCCTGGGCTCAAGCGATTTTCCTGCCTCAGCCTCCCAAAGTATTGGGATTACAGGTGTGAGCCCCTGCGCCTGGCCTATTTTTCTTCATTCAAATTTTTTTTTCTTTTGTGGAGTGGGGTTCTTCTATATTGCCCACGTTGGTCTTGAACTCCTGGCCTCACGTGATCTCTCACCTCAGCCTCCCAAAGTGCTGGGATTATAGGCATGAGCCACCCTGCCCGGCCAAACTTTATTCTTAATAACTGAACTCTTCTTTGGTTATTGGAGTATCTTTAATAAGACCTTAATTTCTTTTCATTTTTTTAAAGTGAGTTGTCTTAGGAGATTAAGAAACCCTTTTGTTTGCACAACATGCTGAAATCACAAGCAATCCTGAAAGCTCATCCATAGATGTTAGCTCTTAATCCTTTAGCAAGACAGCATTTTTTTTTTTTTTTTTTAATGTCTTTCTGGTTTTTTTTTTTAACTTTCAATTTTTTTATTTTAAAGATTTGGGGTTCAATTCAGGGTTAGGTATACAAATGTTCATTATGAAGATACCCTTGTTGATGAGGTGTGCCCCCGCCTTCCCCAGACAGATTTCCACTACTGCCAATCCTTTTCTTTTCTTTTCTTTTTGAATCAAAGTCTCACTCTGTCACCCAGACTGGAGTGCAGTGGCCGCTCCCGGCCACCGCAGCCTCGACCTGCTGGGCTCCAGCAATACTTCTGCCTCACCCTTCCAAGTAGACGAAATTATAGGCATGCGCTACCACGCCTGGCTGATTTTTTTTTAATTTATCGTAGAGACGAGGTCTCGCTGCCCAGGCGGGTCTCGAACCCACAGGCTCAGGCAATCCACTCACCTCAGCCTCCCAAAGGCGCGGGATTACAGGATTTTTTGATTTATTGTAGAGATGAGGTTTCGCCAAGTTGTCCAGGCAGGTCTCAAACCCTCAGGCTCAGGCAATTCACTCACCTCTGCCTCCCAAAGCACGGGATTACAGGGTGAGCCACCGAGCCCAACCGCCAATCCTTTTCTTACAGTATCACGATAATTGTTCACAGTCCGCTTATGAGTGAGAACATGTGATACTCAGTTCTTTGTTTCTGTGAAAGAGCACTCAGTATTATAGACTCTAAGTCCATCCAGGTTGCTGTGAAGTTCATGATTTTGTTCTTTATGATTGCGTAATATTCCATCATGTATATGTACCACAGGATGGCATGTTCTTTTTTTTTTTTTTGAGTTGGAGTCTCACTCCGTCGCCCAGACTGGAGTGCAGCAGCTGCTCCCGGACACCGCAATCTTGACCTGCTGGGCTCCGGCGATCCTTCCGCCTCAACCTTCCAAGTAGCTGGAACTACAGGCACGCTACCACGCCCGGCTAACTTTTTGATTTATTGTAGAGATGAGGGCTCTCCAAGTTGCCCAGGCGGGTCTCGAACCTGCGGGCTCAGGCAATCCACTCACCTCAGTCTCCCAAGGCACGGGATCACAGGCTGAGCCACCGAGGCCGGCTGCATGTTCTTAACAGAGAGCTGTTAGTTCAGCTGTCTAAACTGTTGGGTTATAAAATATTTCAAAATAGAATGTATATTTCAGTTACCGTATATTTAGCACAAAGTATACCACGATTTTTTTGTTGATTATGAATAATGATCAAATGCCGTTGTATATCAGGATTGTACAGGAGATCATCAGTCACATCAGAAGTGGGTATGCTTAGAGTTTAAACATCTGATGGACAATATTGAGATTCCTGTTAATCAGGAAGGGGAAATAGGGCAGCTAGATTTCGATTGATGCAGCATTTAATAGTTAAAAAGGAGGCAGTGAAAAAATG